TGAAGGGTCTAGGCCCAAAACGTCAGCCTTTCTGCTCCTATGATGCTGCTTGGCCTGCTGTGTTCATCCAGCTCTGCACCTTGTTGCCTGAGAAATTCATCAGGTCTGGCAGCATCTGTGGGAAGAAAGCAGAGTTAATGATTCATGTCCGATGACTCTTCATCAGAACTGTTGCCACAAGAAAAAGTGGTATTTATACTGAAGCTGAAGTGGGGGAGGGGAGGAAGGTAGAGGTGAGCAGATGGTTGGAAGTGGAGCCCAGAAAGAGAGATACATGAAAAAGGTAACCAAGGATTTGGATAACAGGCCAGAACAGAAGAAAAGCTGAATAAGTGATAACAACAGCTAAGAGTGAGAAAATAGGTGCTGGAAAACTGTGCTGGATACAACTCAAATAATGTGATAATGGGCCTGGGAACGAGTGTTTGCAGAACACCGCACTCTGTCCACAAAAATGACCCAGTGCTTCCAATTGCCTGCCAATTTAACACACCATTGTGTTCCCATGTCAACATTTCTGTCACGGCCTGTGCAGTGTTCCAGTGCGTCTCAGTGCTCAAAGACATCATCTCATTTTACACTTAGGGACTCTGCAACCTCTAGGACTTAACATTGAGTTCAATAACTTTAGAGCCTGATTCTATCCTTTTTTGTTTCTTACCCATCACAAACCTGGGTCCTGTTATGAAATGGGTTGCTTTAACACAGTCACCCATTCTCACGTACTCCTGCACCTAATATCACATTAAATGAGAGAGAGAGATATTATCACTATCTCTCAATTATTATCGAGACCTGTTATCTCAGTCTCAGGATTACCAATAATGCCACTAGGCCATCACATCCCCATTTACTCATTGCATTTTTCCCTTGCTATTCTAAATCTTATAATGCAATGATTAAGTTAAAGCTATTCATGATATGATGATTGTGTTAGAGATAGTCATGTTCCAATGAAGACTATCATCAAAGCATTCTCCCACAGACACTACTTGGTCCACTCTGCCCATTGCACTCTCCAGTACCAGAACCACAACGTCTCCTTCTTAGTTGGACCAAGTTGGGTCAAAGATATTTGGTTTCATTTTAAATAACTTGGAAATCTAGTGCATACTCCCAGATTAATTAAATGCCTTTCCTGCCTCCAATTTCCTACCATTGAGTGCAGAAGATTTCATATCCATTGTAAAATACACCTTATATTCTTTCAGGTCACCATGGTTGAACATATTGCCAATTTGATGAATAGTATTCGGATGATCCACAGCATCTCAAAGTATTACAACACATCAGAGCATATGACCTCTCTGTTTGTCAAGGTTACCAATCAGATGATTACCACATGTAAGAGGTATCTCTGTCAGAATGTTGGAAAATTCTGGGACCAAGACAGGTAACCATATCATCTATTGTTAAAGAGTTTTTTTTATAGATAGCAAAGTTAGCATGGCAAATTGAAAAATTTCAAGGTCAAATGTAGAACAAGTCAAATTCAGAGGAAATCTCTCTGTGCTCTGCTGTAGCAATGCTTAATTCTAATTTCAGAATATTGATACCCACTCAAACAACAACCCATCACCTCCCCAACCAATTCCCATGTTCGTATATGCCAACTCATGTCAGCTAGCACTCCAAATACTCTCATAGCCTCTTATAGACCCTTTACCAGCTTAGTGCCAACATATGACCCTCACCATAGTACCTTTACCCCAATACCAACTTGGTATTAAGTCATGTTAACTCATGTCCTGCACTCACCACCTTTTCCCTTTTCAGCCTCCATGTCTATTCATTCAATATCCACCATGGGCAGACCACAGGAGCCATGCTAAAATTAAATAAAATAAATATTAAACTATCTATTGCAAAACTCACTGAAAAAAACTCATTTATGATAGGCTACTACATATATTTTTATCCCCTCGAGTGCTTAGTCCCTAATTAAAAACAAACCTTTGTACTCACAACCTCACATTAAAGATTACTAATAATTTAATAACCTTTTTGAGCTGCCAATCACATTGTGAACTTAAAGCTATCCAGCACTGTCTTTCCTGCCATTGTAATAATGGTGGGTTTTGGAAAACAGTCAAGAGTTGAAGCTAATGATAGCACTTGATGTTACGTTAACCGAGATCTATTGCAATTGCTAGAACTGATTTGCTTCAAATTTCAGATGCAGGCAGATAGTTTTTATTCTCAATTTCTAAAAGGCAAGGGATGTATATAACTTGACAGCTTAACTGTCAGTACAGACCTTATCTGTCCTTTGAGGTTTTTATGTCTAATCTAAAAATTCATAACAGTGAAGTATTTGAGCATTGCTCCAGTGAATATGGGGTCTGTTTGAATTCAATATTGATTTAATATAGCCGTGTTCAGTTTGGCACTTCGGTGTGAGTTACATCCTATTCCCATTACCTTCTCCAACCCTAGAAAAAATAATTCCTGACAGATTTTGGGGCAGGAGTCTGAATCTGGAGCCCCACCCACCATTTTGGATATGTGAAAATCCAAGTTGAGGTGTAAGGGATAGAAATAATCCGAGACTAATGCCTCCCTTTTTGTGTTAAGTCAGTCCTAGCCACGAATTCAGGCTGTACATTTACTGTACTGCCCTGTCAGTTTGAAGATGCAAAAGCTTTCAATATGCAGAAAGTTGGAAATTACAATTACTTTATTTCAAGAGAGACTAATTCACTATTTAAACTTGTTCCAGTTTGGCAACCTTTATTCTTAAAAATATGATAAACTTTTGCTGAAGAAGTTAGTGGTACTCTCACTGGTGTAGTTAACCCTGTTTTAGGCCTTGTGTAACAAAAAAAAAGTTCCTTCCTCCTTGTTTTTGTGTGGAAATGCTTTGAGGCTATAACTTAAATCAGGTGAACTGCTTACAGATTAACAAATACCCTTGGATCTCTCATCCTGTTGGCTACAGCTCAATGAACAGTCTACAGTCTTATAGTCTGTTGGGCATTGGATTTCATTTTGCTTCAGTCTGAACCTGCACCTGTCGGTCATTAAATATTTATTTGAATCAAGTGTAGTCTGTCTTGTTGAGATTTGTAATATCTGATATCAGAGGATCAATGACAAGAACTTTCATACTTCACAGCTTGTAATTTTGAATTGCAAGTTTTCCTCCAAAATCTCCTGCAAAGTAAAACGCCATCCAATGGAGCTGAATTTGAGTTTGATTTATTGGTGTCACATGTACCAAGATAGAGTGGAAAGTTTTTTTTTGCGTGCTCTATGGGCAGATCGTACCATACAAAGTGCATCAGGGTAGCACGACAGAGTGCAGAATACAGAGTTACAGCCACAGAGAAGGTGCAGAGAGAGAAAGATCAGAATTAACATTTAGGAGGTCCATTCAAAAGTCTGATAACAGCAGGGAAGAAGCTGTTCTTGAATCTGTTCATATGTGTATTCAAACTTTTATATCTACTGCCCAACTAAAGAGAGTGGACATGAGTATACCCGGGTGGGAGGAGTCTTTGATTATGTTGGTTGCTTTCCCAAGACAGTGGGAAGTATGGATGGAGTCAATGGATAGAAAGTTGGTTCGCATGATGGACTGGGCTATGTTCACGACTCTGTGTAGTTTCTTGCGGCCTTGGGACAAAACCATGCTGTGATATACCCAGATAGGATGCTTTTGATGCACGGATAATGCATTGGAAATACAATGTCGCAATTCTGGTGGCCATTACTGTGCTGAATTTTAGAATGATATGTGATGATACTGGAAACAAATGTGGACTTCTTATATTAAAAGAAACATTCTTGATAAGCGTTAATGAAATATTTCTATTTATTCCTAGTTTGGTATTGGCTCATAATTTAAAATATGAAAATAAATCATCAGCTACACTCAGACCAGATGTGAGCTTAAGTAATGTAAATAGTATAAGGTCCTCAGTAAATTTGAGAGAGCAACCAAATCATACAGTTCAAACTTGAACACGTAGTAATTTACTTGGTTATGTAAAATAAACACATTTTTCTGGAAATTCTGGAAGCATTCAGCAGATCTAGTAGCATTGTGGAGAGACAAACTAAGTCCAATTTTATCTCCATTTTTGTTCAAAATCCATTCATTTATGCAAAGGTAAAAGTTTGCCCAACATTTCAAGTTGGTGATCTCTCATCATAACTGGAACTGAATAGAGATCTGACAGAGTTTATAAGCAAGGCAGGCTCAAATAAAGGATTGGCAAACTGAAATATTAGCACAGTTTTGGCATGGGTTATTTCAGTGAGCCGGATGGCCGGTTTGCAATGCAGAATGATTCCAATAGTGTGCAGGTTCCATCCTGTACTAGTTCAGGTCGCTGTGAAGGCCTCTTGCCTGAGGTGTAGTCAGCCTCAGTTTAAACTTACTACCAGTTGTTTCTCTCTAAAGGGAGAGCAGCCTATGGTGATTTTCATAGATGCTCCCAGATATGAGTGTTTCCGGAATTTTTGTTCTTATTTCAGATTCCCCAGCATCCCGACCGCTTTCCTCTTATTCAGTTATTTGTCTGACTGGTAGCTTCAATTGAACTGAGTTGCCAGTTAATCAAATTAGTGAAGCACAAGTAACTTTGTCTTTTTCTGGGTCCTTATTAGCTTCAACTATGCAAATACAAGAGTTGGCTAGAATCTTTGAAAATGCTTCTGGCCATATTTTCAAAGGTGATGGTCCTTTATTTTTGGTGGGTGGAAACCAGATGTAAATGCCTTCACCTGTTTTGAACAGATCCAATTTTTGCTGATAGGGGAAAACAAGTGAGGCATGGTTCACGCAGGAAGGAAAACAGAATTTAACAGGACCATTTAAACTTAATGCTGAGATTACAAACCCCAGAATCATAAATTTATGGAAAATAATTCACTAAATCATAGAATTGTTACAATACTGAAGGAAGCCATTCATGCCATTGCATCCGCACTGCTGCTCATCATTCCTCTTGGACAGCGGTTAAAGTCCATAACAGCATTATGATTTGAACATTTTTAAATGTACCACCCATTAAACATTTTTTTAAAAGGATTGAGTTATGAATCTTTTTTTAATAAAAGCTTCTGCTAGGTCAATTTGATTGACAGGCCATTTGGTATGGGATAGAAAAAAAATCATCTGCTTGTGTAGCTTCAACAGAGTACTTGGATGATTTCCCAAAGTTCTATTACTATGTTATTCTGAATACTTGGTTTGGTTTCAAAACCTGCTGTTATTTTAAGAGGATTCTGACTTCACAGTTTGATCAACAGTTTTGTTGAGCAATAACCTGCTCAGTGACACACAGTTGGATTCTATTAGGGCCTCTTAGCTCTTGCTGCTGGTTCAAAATAGACAAAAGAGATCTCTAAAGATGAATTGAAAGTGACTGACCTTGACACCAAGGCAACAATGTGTGATATGAAGGAACCGTAACAAAACTACAGTCAATGTGAGTCAGGGAAAAGGCATCTTCTGATTTGGTATAATAATTATCCAAAAGATAGTTGTGGTTTTTGGAGGTCAGTAATCTCAGCACTGATACATCACTGCAGGAATTCTGCGGGAATAGGCCCAACCATAGCCAACATGTTTGTGCAATGTTCAGCAGCTTTTGTAGTGTTTCAGATACTGAAGTTGTCTACATCCAAGTGCAACAAGATCTGGATAGTATCCAGATTTACGCTGACAAGTGACAAGTATGCCGCATGACTGTCAGGCAATGACCATTTCTAATAAGAGAGAATCTAGCCATCTCCCCTTGACATACAATGGGATTATCAGCATTCTCGGGGTTGACCAGAAACTGAACTGGAGGAGCCATATAAATGCAATGGCTACAAGAGCAGGTCAGATGCTACAAGTGTTTATTCATTCAGAGGGTGTGGGCATCGTTGGCTAGGTCAGCAGTTACGGCCCATCCCTAATTGCAAGGAAGGCAATTAAGAGACAATCACATTGCATGGGTATGGACTTGTGTAAGTCAGACCAGATATGATCAGCAGTTTCCTTCTCTAGGAAACACTAGTGAACCAGATGGGTGTTTTATTTCCGTGAAAATCAACACTGCTTGGCATCTTAGATTAATAGTCCAGTGATAATACCACTATGCCATTATCCACAACCCCAATCTCACCTGCACTACCACTCCCCACCCCCCCCCCACCCCCCATAGTGAGTAGCTCACCACCTAACTCCTCAAAACCATGTACAAGGCACAAGTCAGAAGTGTAATGAAATATGGTCCACTTGCCTGTGTAAATACAGCTCCAACAACACTAAAGAAGCTCCCCGCGGTCGAGGACAAAGTTCCTGCTTGAGTTGTACTCTAAACCTCATCTTCAAAATTTCATTCCCTCCACTACTAATGCATACTGGCAGTACGTGTACCAGCTACAAGATGCACTGCAACAATTCACTAAGGCACCTTCAATAGCACATTCCAAACTCATTGCCTGTATTAGCTAGAAGGGCAAGGACAGCAGATTCATTTGAACACCACCAACTGCAAGTCCCCCTCCAAGTCACATATGATTCTGACTTGGAATTTTATTGCCGTTCCTTCACTGTCGCTGGGTCAATTCTTGGAACTCATTTCCAAGCAATACTGTAGGTCTACTCAATATCCATTTTAAGTATTTGTAATGTAGGTTTCATGAATGTTTAAATGACAATTTTTACTCAAAGTTTTCTGATCAATTTAAAGATTACGCTAAAAACCTGGGTTGAATGCTTGGAAGTAGTTGATTTGGGTAAATTTATAATCTGTGTCACATTCCTATAAACACAAACAAATGCAACAATATTTTTCTTATTATTCATTTCAGGCAGGAACTACTGAAGAAAATTAAGAACTGCACTCAGCTAAATGTTGAGTACCAAAAACATTTTCAACGAATCAGGGAGAAGCTTCGTGAAAATCCACAGGAGAGACAATTTGAATTTAGGTAAGAGTCTCCCTTTTATTTCAAAATTTCTTAGACTTTATTTCAAATATGTTTATAACCTAACATTGATTCTTCTTCCACATTATAATTGGTTCTGGTTTAAATCTTTTGCACCACACACCGTTCCCTACTCTTGAAGGTATGGATTCAGGCAGCTTACTGTTAATATGAGCTAACCCTGTTTCAACTAAAGACTTAAAGTAACCATAATGTGTTTTTACGTATAAGTTTTGTGCATGCCCTTTGTTTCCTGAAAATTTCACTCTTACTGCTTGAGGCACTTTTCCATTTGTGGCATGCTTTAATAACATTGTTATAAAACAGAGGATAACCCTACTCTGAGAACTAAAGCTGAAAGAGGAGCACCTTGCCCTATAATGTGTAAAAGGAGTGTGAAAAGTGGTGTAACCTGCCCTTCAGCAACTTCCAGTAGTTAAATAAAATAAATCCCTGACACTCACTTTACAATCAACAGGTAACAATTTATTTACTTAACTCTAACAATGAAGAAATTAAGTAAACTATTAACAAACCAAATAAGCCCCTTCTAACTACAAAGTATTCCTGAATAAAACATGATTCTAATAGTATGCTTTTCCAATAAATAAAAGTCCCACTTATATAAAATCAAAATAGAATTTAGTTTCTTGAAATTACAGCCAGGTGATGAGTCTCCAGAATGTTCTGTGTGTTCTCTGTCAATTCTTCTGTCATGAATGCCTTCTGTGTTGTTTCTTCTGTCAGGAATTTAACCAGTTATGCCATTGGCACTTTTATATTTTAGATGGTGTTTTCTCTAAGACATGGAGGAGTCTTTGAAAGCCAACGATTCTCTTTTGAGAGCTGAGGGCTGTTAGCTCTGGTGGATGGTAGTTAGCTCTCTTTTGTCCACTGCTCCTTTCTTTTATACCCTTGACGACATATCAATTTTCTTACAATAGGATTGGTCCAATGTTGTCAACATTATCAATTTTGAATTTGATTGGTTTTTGGTATCTAAGTGCCTGATTTAAAATAATTGGCTAGATTTGAAAATTGTTGTCTTAGTAAACTGCTGTTTGGCTTGCTAACTGTATGGCCTTTTGATACAAATATTTCAATTTGGGTGCTCTCTGTGTACTTGCAAATTTTCAAGCTGCTGCTCACAGACATCCATTTTAAATCTCTAAGCATAGAAAAAGCACATCATCTTTTAAAGGGTACGTGCAATGCTTTCCCCCCCAGCATTTTACAAATACCAAATTCTAACTTACTGCCTCCCAATCCATAAGTACTGTACCCAAATTCGCAACAACACATCAACGAATATTTTAATGCACTGTACTAAATTAAACATTGAAATGTACTTGAGACTTAACAGCGTCCAATCAAACTTCAATCAGGATTTGGGTACAACTATAATGGTGAGAAATTGAGTTTAGGATGAGATATAAGACACTGGTTATACTGCAAAAACATAAGCCCATGACAAGTAGTGCCTACTTGTCCAGATTTGCAGTATGGCTGGTATGCATGAACAGCTATATCTTTCTTCTACCATTCTTGGTGCCCAGGCCTTTTGAACTTCTCAAACTCCCTCATGAGTATTTCACTGGATTCTTCCTTCAGAGTCCTTCTCTACAGCCGACTATCCTGAATTTGCCCAAAGTTACTAACTTTATACCCTTTCTCAGATGCAGTTATTTCGATGAATTATTGATGAAGCTTTATGATCCATTAAGATGTACTTTATTTTAAAATATACTGTCAAGTGTCAAGTTCTTTGTCTAAACTTTGAATTAAATATTTCACTTTTTAATGTCATTCATCTCCCATTAGCTACTTAAGACTTTTCACTCACCTTCAACTTTCATCAACCACTCCTACCTGATCGATTTCTTTATCACATCTCAAACTATTCTTCCATATCTAATTTCATCCTCCCAGAACTACTCCATCTCCAGTACTAACTCAAACTAACTCCCAAAGCCATTCATTAAAATAAGTTATTTATGTCCAGGGCTGTTCATAAGACCTGCTATTAAGTTATTTATAACCATGCAATTCAGTTGTTTTTATTCCTTATCAAACTTTCAAACCATGATATTCTTCACTAAAAATCACTCTATTCTACTGTTAATATGAATTAGCTAGTGTGCTTCAGCAAGCATCTTAATTAAGGAAGTTTTAAATGAAAACCAGGGGCCAGTTAGCTCAGTTAGTTAGATAGCTAGTGTGCAGATCAGGATAGTGCCAATAGTGTGGATTTGATTACAGTCTGGCTGAGGTAGACCTGCGAACCCCCTCCTCACCCTGCCCCTGAGTGTGGAAGGCAATGGTAATCCAACACGAAAAAACTGCCAGGAAATGGCTCAGGATGAATGTCAGCATTCAATAAGCAGGGGACTTATCTTCAGTTAGAACACATTTGCCATGATGTGAAATAAAAAGCCTAGCAAAGGCCTGTATATGGACTTTTTAAATTTTTAAAAAATATTTACCAGTTTCACTCCCGGTATTCAAGAGGCTTTGTCTGCCCTTTGGTGTCTTTCCAGGTTAGCCATTATTCCATAGGACAGTCTTCCCACTAGTGTTGTTTCTGTAGAAATGATACACTGAGCAATTCCAGGGGAAGAAATTTATTGGGGTCATTAATGACAGCCACACGGGCCTTCATGAGCCTATCCTATTTATCAGTAGGTGACTGTGTATCTTGTGTGTATGTTATTTTAAGATGATTTAATATCTGACCCTATAAAACTGTCACCCAAAATGAAAACAGAAAATATTAGAAATGATTATCAGATTTGGCAGCATCTTTGGAGAGAGAAAATTAATGTTACAGGTTGAAGACCTTTCATTAACTTGAATGTAAGGAAGAAAGTTCTTATGCGGTGAATATTAACCCAGAACTTTCTGCCCACCAAAAGGTGCTGGAAGTAGAAACAAGGAAGGAGCAGAGAAAAGAAAATAGATGAGTACATGAAGGAAATAAACCAGAGGGTCCATGGGATTTGACTTGGGAGGTGGGCATGGGTAGGACAGATGCTTGCTTTGAAGAGAGCTAGCACAGTCTCATAGCTTCTTAAGAGTGATCTAACTCTAGCGATATTTACAGTGACAAATCACAGCTTCCATGAGTGGTGCCTTTGACTTACCTTTGCTTAGGCTGAGTTTGTGGCAGAGCTGTGCTAAGTTTTGGATTTATTGTTTGAAAACTGGTGCTTAAAGCCAGGTAGTACATAGTAACTGTTGCCTAAGATATGGGCACTATGGTTGCTGTACCTCCAGGCCTGCAGCATGAGATGGAACAGAGGCAGCAGAGAGGGAAATATTTGTGAAGAGCAGGGAGGAAGACAGTTCTACATAGAAGAGTGTACCCATGAAAGCTTTTTTTAGGAGCACATATTCCTGAAACAGGAGCAGCACTGAGGTGGTTAAAGTTCAACAAACAGGTTGTTACTGAACTTGGGCCACATCTCGTAATTCAGCCTGGAACCTCACATAATGGTGCCATTCTGCCAATGCCTTTATCAGCGGCTCAAATGCTGTTAAGCTGAGGGCACAGCATGTTTGTGTTCTGGTGCCACATTCATTCCTATGTGCTGGTCATATTCTAATAATCAGTTGCCATACAAAACAGCTCAACTACCAGGACAGCCTGCAAACCATTTTGAACACTGATCCGTGGTTGCAGTACTTCAAGCCTGTCTGACAGTAAGCATGAATCTCATGACTTCCAACTGAGCTTCCCCTGCAGCACTGACGTGATGGATGGCTTCTGCCTATGATGCAGTGGCTATCGGAGGCTTCAGCATCATTTGGTCTATTTGTGCTGCAATGGAGTTAGAAAGAATGGGATCCAAGCTGTGTGCAATGCCCTTCCATTCTCCCTGACTGTGACAGCAGGCTGTCTGATAGACCAGCCAAGGCGCTGGGTTGCTTGCTTCAATCATTTAAATGAGGAAGGAGCATGGGATTTACATGCTGCCTACTGCCACAGCAATATGGACAGTTTATGAATAGTGACCCCACTGCCAAGGAACAACATGGACCAATTTTTAAAGGTAGTTGCAATTTTAAAAAAAATGCAAAGTCTAAGCAATGGAAAATCATTTCCTTAATCACAGCTATTTATAAAATGCTGTGACAAATTACACATTATTTTTGTCCAAGATGAATTATTTATCAGATCAAGCTAAATGATTTTGAAGTTGTAGAGCATGTAAGTTGCAGTTTGGTACACTGAATGTATTAAATAGTACCTGCAGCTTTTTCCTGTGGAATACAGAGTAGTTAATTTATGGTAACATTGATTGAATGCAGAGCTATTAAGATATCAATCCAATCAGAAGTGTCTTGAATTGTTGTCTGCATTGTAATCCTGAATTAAGGGTGGGATCACTAGGTTCCTTGGAAAATTGTTAATGCTGTTCAAATTTATACATTCCATGTGACTGCCATAGAAGGCATCTCATGAAAGAAGTTGGTTTTGTTGACACTATGTCTGAGATGAAGCCCATATTTGGCTGTGAGAACAACAGGGCCATGATTTCCCACTTTGATGGACAGCTCTGTAGTTAGTAGCTTTAAATTGCAGGTTTGTATTGGGTTATCTGCACACTCAGCTCAAAAGTAAGACTGATGCCATGAAAGATAGAAGTCTGGCTGGAAAACTTCATTGTAAACTAAATTGCTGTGGTAGTTCTAAACGTATCATCATTATTGTCATATTTAAGCGTCAACTACAGCTTAAGATTTAGTGGAGAAGAAGTTTAATCATTATGTCTACTGTGTTTATTGATCTCTTTGGTGCTCAGGGAATCTGTCAAATAGTTTATAACCTGAGCCATTGTCTAAGTATTGTTCCTTCTAGTTTAAATCTGAGTTCAGTTTGTAACTGGGGCGTGGTGGTTTGAAGCCCAAATCATTGTATCTCCTGAGACTCATTTAAATTTAAGCATGTGTCGTGATTCACTTTAAAACTTAGGTCCAGCTCCCATGAAATTCAGTGTCAGTGC